TACCGATCTGGCAAGACTGAGGGCCGTATCGCAGCCAGAGTCAGGGGCATGGTTACATGCACTCCCATCGCCTCACTTGGGTACCTTGCTAGACGGCGACTCTTTGCGTGTGGCAGTGGCTCTCCGCCTGGGCTGCAGGGTGTGCGAACCACATAGATGCACCTGCGGTTCCATGGTGGGGGCCGATGGTCTTCATGCACTGAGTTGTCGTCGCTGCGCAGGTAGATTTTCGCGACACCATGCCCTAAATGACATAGTCCGAAGGGCTCTTATATCCGCCAATGTACCCTGCGTGCTGGAGCCATCGGGTCTTAGCAGATCTGACGGGAAGCGGCCGGATGGCTTGACTTTGGTGCCGTGGAAAAACGGCAAGTGCTTGGTATGGGACGCCACATGCGTTAGCACAGTCGCGGCCTCACATCTGAGTCGCACCGTCCAAGCCCCGGCGGCGGCGGCGGAGGATGCCGCTAGTAGGAAGCGATCAAAATACGCCGCAATGGAGACGCACTATTATTTTGTGCCTATTGCGGTGGAGACTTTGGGCAGTTGGGGGTCAGAAGCTAAAAAGTTAATTGCGGAGATTGGTCGTCGAGTTAGGGAAAAAAGTGGTGACTCCCGCTCCGGCTCGTTTCTGGTGCAAAGAATGTCCGTTGCAATTCAGCGAGGCAATGCTGCCAGTATCATGGGCACCTTTGCACCGGGAGCGACGCGGGGCGGGTTATATGATCTGACTTAAAAAAAATATATATATAATTGTAACTTAAATGTATGTATTTTAATAAAACACTAAGTTTCGTTAAGTAGTCTTTTCAAAGATTTGGAATAATTTCTATGTATTTGATCTAACTAGTTTCAACAGACCATTTAGAATTGTAAATAAAATTGAAATGATTGCGTTTATACTGCAACTCGTCACTTCTTCTTCTTCTTCTTCAATTTATTTACGTATGTGTATTAAAAGAAACGTTTATTACCTATTTATATATATTTTTTAAACTTATATGTATGTAATTGGGACTCCGAAGTATTACAATAATTTTTTTATATGCTTAAAATTACGAAAATCTACAAAGCAATAACCATTTATTCTTATTTTAATTTATTGTGTAACATTATTTGTTTTAAATGTAACTAATACGCTCCTTAAAACGTGAACCAATTATAGAAGTAGGTAAATCTTTTTTTTTATGGAATAGGGGGCAGACGGGTCACCTGATGGAAAACGCTCTTTTCTTGAAGGTTTGAAGGTCGTATCGGTCCAGTTCCACAGATTGCTAGTGCAAGGTAAAAAGTGTCTTGAAAAACGCACAGTGGTGGAGCACTAATTATCCAACTGTGGCGGATAAAATAAAAAAATCATAAAACATAAAATCATACTTTAAATAATAAAATCAGACTTTTATATGCTTAAACGTTGACTTAAGTTAGTATACGTTTCGTAATAAAGTACGATGTGTGTGTTAAGTCGGTACATTATATTTAGTTAGAGGTTTATGAACTCACGAGTCTTTTGATTGTCACTCAACGTCCAGTCAACCATTGTCGTTTTTTCATTGCCTTGTCTGCCATTGAGAAGCAATTCTTCTACGCAAAGGTCATATTGTGTTTGATATCTTTAATGTATGTAAATAGTGGCAATATTATTGGCAGTATCAGTAACCTTTAAATACGGTGGCTTTTCTGATCGTTATTCGCCGCTCGTGGTCACACCACAGAAAAACCACATTTTTTACTATCGACCCGTCTAAGTAATTATCCAGTACCTACATCATTTTTAAACCTTTCTTTTTATTAGTGGTCTACATAGGCCAAAAAAAATATTTGTTTTTCTAATTAAACACTTAAAGAATCATCTAACTGATGGTGAAAACTGATAGTTTAAGAGAAGTTAGATAAACAGATACACAGACAGAGGCGTGTACTGTTTTGTTTTTATACTAAACATAAACTCTAAATTTAAAGATAACCTTTTAATTTAGAGTTTATGTTCTCAGATATACAGTTAAATCGGAATTTTATCTTCAATTTTATGTTAGGTGTAGGTACCAAAAACGGAATCAGTTTTTCTTTACCCCTTCTCTAAAAGTGGAGTTTGTGAAGATAGGTCCAATTCAAATATTAAATATTATGCGTCATTGGTTCTGGTTCCGGCAAAGTAAATAAAATGCGGTGAACACAAAAGATTGGGAAGGGTTACCTACCTAATACTTTTGAAGTAACTGACCTGTCGCCCTTTTTTTTGAATAGATAAGCAAAATTAAAGCAAAATACTTGAGATTAATACTGGTATATTTATACTATATAAATTGGTCAGAAGTGATGATGACTAGGAAAGAATTTTCAAGTGTGATAAATGTATTAATTTTTTATACTTATGGATTTTTGGTTCCATTGCGGGTCTAAATCCGTTGTGACTTACTACCTCAAATAAATATATAATGTTTGATTTTTGTTAAATTAAATACACAGAATTACAAAAACGTTTATGACAACTTTTGGTTCTAACCAATACAAGTAATTTACGTTTTATTTTTACTATCCCAAAACCCATCTTTGGACGACATCTTTAATTCGACGACGACAACCCATCTGCAAACGGCTTTACAGCAATGAAATTACTATGAGAATATACACTATCTATGTAAACTCGTTCTTTACTCGTAAGCAGACTCATTAATTACTCGACCCGAAAGCAGAGTAAAAAACTTGCTAGATTCTATCCTTTCATCTACTTGTCCACCTTTACTAGACTGCATCTTTTGATATTGTCAATGCTGCAATGAAGACATGCGGTCTATATTAATAAGTTGATAAAGGCGTAGCATTTATATCATTTTTTAATCCCTTAATTTCGTGTTACTATGTTTTTTTTTTCAAAATATGAATACTTCTGCCGTTTATCATCATGAACTATGACTTTGAACTAGGACTTTAGTCCATTAGCATGAGAAAAATAGAAAATTCTAAGATATGATATAAAATGAAAGTAAATTAGGAGCCTGGTTAGATACCTACTAATTCTAAGTAACCTTAATTTTTGCTCACTAATAATAAATTATGATCCGTTTATAAATTGTTTATGCGCAGCTGCTAATGGATTTTTCTCTTAAACTCTAATGAATAGGTAGAAAATGTCTGTTGCTTAAACTAATTTAACTTAAAAGGTAATATAATTAACAACTTGACACATTCCAGAAATAGTTCCAGTCTAATCTGATTCCAAACTAAGCACAGCCTGTGTTATTGTAATCAGAATGCTGATAAACATACTTAGGTTTATTTTTCTAAAAACATACACATTATAGATAAATTACACCCAGACATAGAACAAAACAATCATGCTCATCACAAAATTATTTCTTCTGAGTGGGAATCGAAGCCACACTGGCTTAGCAGTTAAGTTAGACCACTAGACCAGGTCACCCGAAATAGAATAACTTTAAACAGAATCAACACTGTGTACACATGGATAAGTGTTACGAGTTATGACAAGTTATGTTTACCTAAAGTATAGTAAGTACCCTATAAGTAGAACCAGCCGTTGAATGAACAGAGACACAATTCTTAGTATTTTATCAGTTTGTTTACTTCTAACATAGAATTTATTATACTCATTCAATATAATAAATACTTAATAACATTGTAGTGAAGTTAAATTTAACTTCGTAGCTTTTTTTAAATGTATTATTTAATAGTGTACAAGGGCAAAATGCTCGACTGATTGAAGTGGTCACACTCGAAATACCAAAGATTTTACCAAGAAGTTTCGATTGTTGCCAACTTGAAACCAAATTTAATAACATAAATGATTATATTTGAAATTGAGTTCTTTTTTCTACGACGGGAACACTTAACTTGGCTGCGATCGGTTGGGAATAGGTTTGAACCTTAGGTAGGTAGTAAATTTTGGGGCGTGGCTTACAATATTTGTATTTTTATTTCAATTAAAAATACATATTATTCTCAGTTACAAATAATTGAGACTGGACTTTACACAGGTCATTCGATTTAGTTTGAGTGTCTACTATACGTCGTTAAACCAACCAACCAAGTTTATTTCGCGCATTCTAAATTTAAAAAATATATTTTAAAAACGAATAAAATCCACTACGTATATAAATCGATTTATAATCACACTTTTATCGCTTATATTACTGTAATTTCAATAAAAAAATATCGATTTTAATACCAAAAAAAGCAGATGTCGTTCAATTTGCATGCATATTAAAATCCGTTAAATTTTGTAACACCATGATATATATAAAATTGGATGTTTCGTAATCGGCTTGCCCACCGTTGTATGCCCCAAGCGTTTACCTGTTTTTCATTCGAAAGCTCGAGCGAGCAGGACGGAACATATATTCCAAAAGCGTATGAAGAATTCGTGGCAACAAGCGGCCAAGATCGGGGCTGACGCTACTGACAATGCACGACTCTGTGTCTGGTTATATTAGGCGACCGCTTCCAGAATACACAGCGTTATTGTAAATTGGGTATTTCAGTGCGCCTCTCCATTTCTGCCGGGGTTCAAGTGAAGCGTGGTCGGTGTGGCAACCATGCGCCGCGCATTCTTCACCAATGGGGGGCGACTTCACGCAGTTGCGTCCTGACCGTCGACGAGGACGGACCTTTGTCGAACGCGCCGCCGAAACTATCGTATAACAAACATTTAAACAAATCATAAGTGTATCAAATCGATTCGAATTTCGAATCCTAGTACGTCATTAGTGATGGGAAGTGTAAAACACAACGCGCGCATCGATTTCGTACGATGACCAAAACTTTAAGTTGTGAAGATCGGAAAAAAGTTGTGGTGCCGAATGCACTCGTCTTGTATACAAAAAATGTGTGCTTGTAAAGTGATGGCCTGATGGGATCGCAGTGTGGCCAATATAGTGTAGTTAGTGATGTGTACTGTGATATAAAATTTCGGCATTCGCGTAGATGATTGCCGTTCTCGAGTGTGATATAATTAGTTTATTAGTTACCAAAGATTCCTGATGATCTTGTACATTAGTTTGTGTTTCATATTGGTAGTTTTAGGTAAGTACAGTCAACTTCACAGTAGTTTATTGTGCTAGTTGTTATTATCTTGATGTACTGCCATTAATTGGCATGCCGAGTAATTACGATTGCGGTACGATAATCACGAACGTAAATTAATTTTGTTATAATAGTGTTGTTAGGTTCAATTAGCGAATAAACTTCGGATTTATTAATATTATTAGATTATCTACAAACAACTCGATGAATTTTTTTTATTGGCAAGTTAAATATTCTCGATTAAAAGGGTAATTAATAATATTTAAAACAAATTTCAGCACTATATGAATTTGGAATTCGAAATACAAACAATCTAAAATTAACTTAGCTGGAGCCCTGCATACACGACCCGCATCCATTTAGATCGAATTAAAAAGTTATAAATTTCCAATGTTGTATGGATGGATGGATGGATATGTGGATGCTACAAATTCAGTTAACATGACATAATGGCCGTTACTTAGTCGCTCGTGTCAATTAGTAGATAGTTCATATGACAAAATTTATTACAAGATCCGAAATGAGAAAAGCAGAACATTAATTGAACATTTTGAAATAAATTGAACATGAAAACACTAAAATAAGAAGCCAACAAAATAATAATCAAAAAGTATAATTTAGAATTTAGTTTTATTGGTTTATTTAATTTATTTATTTACACATTAAATTTATGAAATTAATTTCATGTAGTCACGTACGAAACTAATTATACTATTAATATTTCATACTCAATTACGTATAGAAAGAGATAATCTAATAAAGGGTAGACATCGGACCCTTAGGGACCCTGTGTTCTAATTGAGAAAATTGGTTAACGAAACCCTGTTGAAAATAGTTACGGGTTTGAGTTTCATGAATGATCAAATTTTAATAAAATATGTAAAGCTGCAAATTATATTCCATTTATTGAATTAATACACATACACGCAACATAAAACATAACAATTCCTATAAGGAATAATATTCATATTTGAACTGATATTGTGAGAATTCCTTCATTAATTTGTAAAAGTAAAATCAGTCTATTTCATGTAAATTTTTTGATAATTCACATTGTTGAAACTATCAAGAATCATTTAATAAAATAAATGACAGAAATTCTTAAAATCATATCCAAGCTCGGAGAATTTCGTTCGTTAATTTTGTTATAATCATTTATCATAAAAATCAACGTAGACCTCTCAATTTGTGTTCAGTTCTCCGAAACATAAACAAGACCTTGCTTGCGATAGTTTTTGTTGTCATATACAAAAAATATATTATCCAGTTGTGATCTTAATTAGTAATAAACGAAAACTTACGGTTTAGTGAGTTGTTTTTTTCATATAGAAACACATTCAATAAATGCGTTTCTCACATACCAGTATCATCCGTGTAACAGAACTTTACTGTTCACTTAACGACTTCTAATTTTCTCCTGCGCTATTTCAACTAATTTTCAATCATGGACATACCGTCTAGAAGTCATAAAAACAGTTGACGGCTAAACATTTACGGCTTCATCCCGAGAGCGGTAGGCAGAGATGTATTACACGCCCACATTTTGTCAACTTACTATAATTTGACGGGTCTGTTTCATGGTGGTTTCTCAGAACAAGTTACAAAAATACTGTGTGATGAGCACGATCATTTTTTTCATATTTTACATATGTATTTAAAAATATATAAGTATGTTTATCAGCAGTCTGGGCTCTGCCTGTCTGCCTGCCTGTCTGGTGAGATGCGTCAAGCTAAAATAAAAATTATATAATTTGCATGAGTAGGGTAAGCGTATTATCATCAATCGGTAGCTTTAGGTATTAGGTTTGAGAATTAGTAATTAGTAAACAAATGATAGACAAAGGATATTCCTAGTACGTATTAATTGGGAAATTTTAACAATAGCTCGAGAAGTAGAGGCTCACATACTTGTGACTCGAATTGGCTACATAACTCTGGACAGAGCATCTCCGAACTCAGTATTTTCAATAAAAGTCAGGATTTTTTTAAAGATATATATTTTTTTTAGAAAGTGGCCCGTCAAACCGAAGCGAACGGAATTAAGGCGACGTGACTTCGGTGCACGATTCAGTTTCGGCCTTCGGCCTAGCATTTTTTACTGAGTTTATTTGTACCGAGTCTGTTATATAACATTGGTGTATTAGTTCGATATGTTGATGTTTTCTTAGCTGTTTTCTTTCTTCCGACTTATTTCTATACGAAGCACGTTTATTTTGAAAAAAAAGTGTATTTTGTGCGTTGCTTGAACTGTTGAGTCATGGTCAACAAAGTCTTTCATTAAAATGGTTTTGAAGTCGTATCAGGGACATTCAAACTCATTTCGTTTTTCTTATTACTTGTAATATTTTTATACATTTCGTTACTAACTTTTAAATTATTTCGACAATAAATCAAATCATCAATCAATCATCAAATGAATCAAACTCGTAACGAAATTTTCTTGTAAGTGATTTAGGTTTATTTTTGATACTATAACTTAATTAGGTGTATAACTTAAGTAGGTCGCAGCATAGTGTTATATAACTTATGTAACTTTATAAACTGCTACTTAACTCACAATTATTATTGACTTCAATCGGTAGGACTAGGGATTAAGGCGTTTGAACAAACTCTCTATAATAACTGCCTGATATTAATATAATATAAATAATAAAACAATACTATAAGAAAATTATAATGAATTTAAAATATATTCCTTTCTATCAAAACAAATCCAACATTACCAACTTATGAAATGCTAAACGTAATGAAACCCCATCAAATCCTTCTGTGAAGCTAAGTTAATAATACTAATGAAACTTTATTGAAATAAATATAATTAACCATCTCATCGAATTCCGGCAAGCCAGTTTCGAACTTATAATGAGACACTGTTCAGACGTGCAGCGCCATCTGTGGTCCAGTAGTGAAACTAAAAACGTTCAAAAGTTGCGTTTTAATTCTTATTTTTTTATTTTACTGTTAGGGGTTCTAAAATAGTAATGTAAAAGGTTAAAGTTGGACGTCAGTCAGTACAACATAACTACTATTATTTGTTTATGTTTTATACGAATACCTATCAGTATAAATAAATATGTAATATTTAGTACCTATATATTATGCATAGGCATATCCGCAAGTCTGAACCCTTTTAAGTAAAAGTACGTTAACAGAATAAAAACACGCCGTAAATAAAAAAAACAATTTTACTTCTGAAAGCCATACATCACAAAAACGTCAAAAGTACATATACAATGGAATTATGTTTTCCGGCGCCTTTGTTTGTTTTGATGAAAAAAGTTGATAATAGTCTCTATGGCCCAAATCGTGATTCTTGTTGGCCGTTTGCCCGCCTAAATACTTTCGTAACTTTCAGTTTGACTTAATTAGGTTTTGAAACCAAATTACTCTAATTTCGATTACGGAGAGACCATTTATTTTTGTTACTAAATTGAAAAATAAAGGGATTTCGGAATTTAAAAAGTTACAGTTTATATTTCAGTATTATTCAATAATGTTCGTTATTCAAAAGACTCACAGATCATTTGCCAGAGAACTAAAAAATATTCACATTTTGAAATAAGAATTTATTCTTTTAACGGTCCCTAAACAATATTAAAAGCCAAATGTGATTGTCTACAATTCTTTTATACTACACAATCTTTTAAATTTAAAACATATAATTCCTTTTCTAGACCTATAACCCACGGATAATAGATATTTAAAAATACTTGAGATGTCTTTGTTTCAGAATAAATCTATCTAAAAATCATGATTCATTTGCTTTAGTAAATAGTTTGAACTTGAAGCTCGTTGTCAATCTTAAAGTTAAATATTTGTTCTGTATGATTTTGTTATCAAAGCTAAATCTAGAAATGACTAGGTACATATTTAACAATTTAGAAAATCTTCGAGGACTTTAATTTTTATAAATTCACAAGCAAATTTTTAAGGTTTCTTACAAAAGAGGCTTAAGTTTTGATGACATATTTTTTTCATTGATTAAAGTCGCTGTTTTTGTAAAAACTGCATGTTACGGAATGTATTTTAATTTTATTAAATAGTTTTTCTGTTAATGACTCTCTGACTAACGTCATAAAATAACTGAGTTAGTATTTCCGCGTAAATGCAAAATATATTTTTTTATTGAACAAAATCGCTGTTTTTTAAAAATTGCATTTCGGAATCTGTTAGTATTTTTTAAAATTAATCTGTTTCTCTCATACATGATAATATACAATAACTGAGTTCATTTTTGTAAATGCTAAATATTTTTATACATAGCGCCTTGAAATAAGCAATCATATACATAAATATCGTATACGAACCCGCAATGTATAAAATTTTATAGTGTTTATAGCACATAAAAACTTTATTCCTTTTCCAGAAAAAAATCTTCATGAAAATCATCCTTCTTTTGGCCATCAGTTTCCAAGTAACGTAACAAAAACCAATATTCTTGGAAGCAATAAGCCTGTGCCATAACAAAGTAGTCCTATGTTCCCATACGTTCGCTCCCGTTACACAAACGTAAACAAAATATAAACTAAACATTTGTGTTAGAAAACAACCACGTGTTTTGTGTAAGATGAAGGAAATATGCCAAGTAGCTCACATAAAACCAGACGCGGTTGGCAATTGTGGTGAATATGTTTTTTTATCGTATGGGAGTGAGTTTACACCGACTTCAAAAGTTCTTGGTTCGACTAATTTTTTGTGTGTGTGTACTACGGGATGCCTTCGCGGTTTATGAACAAACTTCAATAATTATTTTATTTAATTGATTTGTTATACTCACATAATACCTCATACAAGCATTTTGACTTCAAACTATGTTTCTACTTAGTTTCTGTTTGTGTCTTTATCATGCAGGTATGTCTGTTAAGTCCCTCTCGACACAGGATACATTCCTAGTGATGGAGTTATCTTTTTAAAGAGAATTAGTTTACCATAATACACACTCTTCTGTGTTAAGGTAACCAGGCTGCCAATAAACATACTTACATATATACATAAATATT